AAAATACCCTTTGAAATTTTCGGCAGTACACATTCAACTTGAATCGCTATTCATTCTAAACACACTATGCTTCAAATATAAAGTAGAAAGAGGTCAAAGTTGGGGGCATGAACTCTGAGTTCTAGTTCTCATGTTGTCCCCAGCGTGGGGCAGATCGCCTGTACCACCCTTGAGCCCGCACTTGCCATGCACGGCATGGCTCCCCGGCTCCTGACAGGTTCCCTGTGAGGCGTACACGCTTCCACATGGTTCCCAACACACCTTCTCCCCCGTCCATACTGTCCTCGTGTCAGATCCTTTGTTGTGAAAGTAATGGCAAAAACCGCAATTACTTTTCCACCAACCTCGTAGGTGTCTTGAAATGTTTTATCTAATGCATAAGTAACTCATGAAATTTAGAAACCTAGGCAAAAGAGATTAAAAATTGCCTCATCCAAGGAAAACTTTTCTTAGTATATCGGTATATACCTTTTCAGTGTTTTACATATATAATTTTAAATAATGTTAAAGCTATGACATACTCACATACGATTTTTATCATACATTTTTCAGTTATTCTTTTATCGTGAGTGCTTTCCATATCATTACATATTCTTCCAAAACAGTTTTTTTTTTGTTGTTGTTCAGATAGAGTTTCACTCTTGTCGCCCAGGCTGGAGTGCAGTGGCGTGATCTCAGCTCACTGCCACTTCTACCTCCCAGGTTTGAGCAGTTCTCCTGCCTCACCCTTGCAAGTAGCTGGGATTACAGGCACCCGCCACCATGCCCAGCTAATTTTCGTATTTTAGTAGAGACAGGGTTTCGCCATGCTGGCCAGGCTGGTCTCGAACTCCTGACCTCAGGTGATCTGCCCACCTCGGCCTCCCAAAGTGCTGGGATTCCAAGCGTGAGCTTCTGCACCCAATCTCTTCCAGAACGCTTTTAATAGCTGCTTGGAATTCTGGCTTATGGAAATGTGGAAATTATTGAACATTCCTATGTTTTTGGACATTAGGTTGTTTCCATTTCTCTCCTATTATACCAGTTCTAATTTCCTTCATTTGATTTTTTTTTTTTTTTACTTATTCTTTTTCAATCCCCCTGCCCCTGCCACTTGCTTTATTATTCTAATTCCATTCCTGTTAGTAGAGACTGTTGTTCAGATGTGTTATGCATTTGTAATCATGCCTTCATTTGCATGATTACAAATGCACAAAAATTTTCCACCCTTATTAGCAGAAACCATAAATAAAACAGCACAGCGTGCAGCTTGTGGTCCATGGGCTTATCCTCAGTGCTCAGCTCAGGCCTCCCGTTCCGGCAGGCGTGTGTCTCCCTCATTGTTATCTTGGCACAGCCTGCAGAGAAAGCTCCCTCGAATTGGCTGTGGGGTCTCTGGCCTGGGACAGGGACTAAGTCTTCAGAGCCACATAAACAATGTGGGGCCCAGCAGAAGCCTACAAATGGATACTCCTTGAAGAAAAGTAGGAGGAAAGGGAGGAGGGGGAAATGAGGGAGGGAGAGAGAGAAGGTGGAAGTCAGGAAGGAAGGAGGGGGAAGCCAGGGGAAGGAAAGAAGGAAGGAAAGGAGGAGAGAAAGGAAGAAAGAAGAAAGGAAAGGGAGGAAGGGAGAGGCCATCAATGGCTGGGGCTGTACAAGGTGGCAGAAGGCTCTACTGTTCACCAGATTACAAGTTCATGGGCAGAGCACTGACTGGGGGAGTCACAAGTGAAGCGTTCTAGTCCCAGCTCTGACTCCAACTAGCGGTGTTGCTGTGGGAAAACCATTTTACCTTCCTGGGCCCAGGGTGAGGATTTGATTATTTTTGCAGCCTTTCCCGAGGCCCTGAAGGTCTGTCCCTCTGTGTTGGAAGTGGGGTGGGCAGGCAGTCACTCCCAGCTTCTGGCTGGCACACCTGTACATGGTACCCAAGGCCCTGCACAGATGGATAGGAGTGCAGGAACCACCTACACTTGCGTCCAGCTCAGAGCTCTGAGTGCTGCCAGTGAGGCCGCTGCCCTGGGCTGCTGGCTTTGGTCTCCTTGCTCCTTTTTCCAGCACTAGGAGGCTGAAGGGGAACTTCTCAAAGCTATCGACCTTCCCTCCAGGATAATTTCACAGCCATTATTGCCCCTGCCTGCCCTGCTCACAAGTGTCTCCAGGGAGGCAGAAGGCTCTGGCCAGAGCCAGTAACCTCCCAACTGCCACCCAACATACCTGCCTGCCCTCAGCATCCAAGGACCTACAACCTTGGGTGTCCCTTCAGGACCCAGCTGGCGCTGGTGTTCCTGAGCCAGTGGAATCCTAGAAACTTGGAGCTGGAAGGGTGTATGGAGCCCCCTTGTCCCTTTCCCTGATCTCACAGGTCTGGGGGCACTTCATGCTTTCCCTACATTGCATAACCAACTGCTTTATTAGAAGGGAGGGAGGTGAGAAGGATGGGATCCTTGAGCCCAAAGCTAAGCCTTTCGCTGAATCTGTCCTTGAGCAGAAGGTTAAATGAGGGTCTTGCTGTACCATGGGAAGACCTCTGAAAAGTTCTTGTTGATGCCTCTCCCTCCCACCCCCAGCCTTGCCCAACGCTCTCCAAGACTTTCCAGTGATAAGGAGGTGAGTGGGCTATAGCATAACACAAGGATACCAATTCTAGAATCAAAATGCCTAGATTCAAATCTCCACTCTTCTCCTTCTAGCTGGGTGACTTCCAGCAAGTTAGTTGTCTCAGTTTTTTCATCCATAAAATGGGGCCAATCGTACCTTCTTCATACGGTTATTGTGAAGACTAGGTGTAAAAAATGTTTAGAAAAGTGACACCTAGGCCAGGCAGTAATCCCAGCACTTTGTGGGGCCAAGGTGAAAGGATTGTTTGAGCTCAGGAGTTTGAGACCAGTCTGGGCAACATAGTGAGACCCTGTCTCTACAAAAAATTCAAAGGAACTTGCTGAGCATGGTGGTGCGCACCATAGTCCCAGCTACTCAGGAGGCCGAAGTGGGAGGATTGCTTGAGCCCAGCATGTCGAGGCTGCAGTGAGCCATGATTGCACCACTGCACTCTAGCCTGGGTGACAGAGCAAGACCCCGTCTGGAAAAAGAAAAAAAGAAAAAAAAAAAGAAGAAAAGAGAGTGACACCTATTAAGTACTCAACAAATGTTAGCCGTTATTGCCATAAGTCAGTCTTACTGAGCAACTGAGGTACAGTATGAATCCAGAGGAAGAGGTTTACTCTTCTAAAACCTCTAGGCAGTAGGGTCTGAGGTAGTGATTCCCAAACTCCAACCTCAGGACTGCCGTCATATTTGCATCAGGAAGCTTTTTCTTTCTTATTTTCATTTTTTTAAATAAGTGAAGTTAATATGTTTACATAGTTAGAAAATCACAGTACAGAAAGGTACAAAATAAGAAGCGAAAGGCTTCTTTGTCTCTTCCCTGAATTCCCTGTCCCTTATGAGGGCCTCAAAAATACAGATGCCCAGGTCCTACGCCCAGGAATTTTGATTCAGTAGATCAGGTGGGGGCCTGTACATCTGTATTATAACTGCTATCTGCTCCCACGGGCTGGTCGGGCACTGAGAGAGGGACATCGTGATGGAGGTGACCCAAAGTCCCTGATGTGTCTTCCATAATATTTGTACCATTTTACATTCCCAGCAACAGTGGACCAGGGTTCCCTTGTCACCACACTCTTGCCAACGCCTGTTATTTCTTGTCTTTTTTATTACAGCCATTCTAACAGGCGTGAGGTGATATCTCATTGTGGTATTGATTTATGTTTCCCTGGTGATCAGTGATGGGTTTCTTGATACTTGCTGGCCACTTGTACGTCTTCTTTGGAGAAATGTCTGTTTGGGTCCTTTGCCCATTTTCTTTCTTTCTTTTTTTTTTTTTTTTAGGTAG